AGGAAAAACAATCTCGGCTGGATTAACCGGAATTTCTGGTTCGTTCATATTTTCATCAGAAATTTGACTGGTCCAATCAAGTATCTTTTCCCATGTGCAACGAATTTGTGTATTACAGATTTTGCTGAGAAATTTTACTTGCATGGTCAAAGTCAGTGAGAAATAAGATAGAGTAATAAATTGAGGAAGTGTTTCGCTGAAGATCAGTGAATACTCACTGATCATCGATGGAATATTTCTTTCATTGATTCCATCAGGAACCAACTCATTTTCATCCCTTAATAGTATGCTCGGAAAACTTTCGATTTACATAACCTCCTCAGTCCTGGCGTTCAATCAACTGGAATGCTTTTTCCAAGTCTATAACCTGACTCTATATACGTGGAATGTGTAAAACCATATATCTAACATGTTGGACTATTGATTAATGCGTTATATTTGTCTTAGTGCTCTTGAAATTTAATATTTAGTTGCACTGCAAAATATTGAAAGTTAAAAATACTGGAAAAAATATTTTTGTGTCCCCTCTGGTGATCCCTGAAGTTAAGAGAAACCTTTCATAAAATTTTGAAATAAAATTTGCCTTAAAACTGAGTAAGTTAAACTATTTGTAACTCACGACGAATACAAATCACATATATTTTGTATTTCAATTTTCAAAATTCTTCAAAGAAAATAAAAAAAAATAGGAATGCTTGTTACACCCAACTCTAAGAGAAATTTCGAGGTCATTTTGAATCGCCACTGAAGAGCACTATTGCAATTTGCCACATGGTTAAATTAGGCCCGTGAAAGAATGACAGCTGAGATGAGAGGCTCATGGGAACGATCGCGAATGGGAACGATCGCGAATGGGATATGTACAGATAAATTTTCGAGCAGCAAGTGTCCTATTGACCATTGATCCGCCGAGGAGGCCGCGCGGCATAGCGGAGTGGGTCGCGAATGCGCCTGGTTTGCGTTTCGCGATTAACTCCAGTATCACGGGGAAACAAAACGTTAGGAATGGTCAATAAGAGAAGGGGCCGAGATAAGGGGAAGCGGAGTATCGATCTCGCGAGGCACGTCGCTGGCCTCCTTCACAGGCACGATTCCACCGCGAGTACTAAAGTTAACTGCATTCGAATATCCGCCATTATACATCGATCGTGGGCCGGGATATCGCATTGTTATTACGAGCGCTCGGGAAACTCGTAAAAGGGCGATTGAATCGACTGCATCGCATTACTTTTACATTCCAAGGACGCATACGGGACTAAACGCAAATGCAATGGCCGTTAACTCGGTGGACGATGTGATCGCGCGCGTACGAAGATTCCGACCGGCGCGTAAGGAGCTTCCGGATCAGCCATCGCAGCCGAAAGTGAGACGACATCGACATCGTCACGAGGCTCGAAGGAAGCGACGTGCCTTCCAAGTGAGACGCGCTGATCTTCCTACTTCCTTGAGAGATCGTGAGATCTTGTTTAACTCGTAACCGAAATAACCGATGTCACTCCCCCCGTGATTTCGCAGCGAAAAGAGGCGGAGGAACGGTCGTGCTCGGACGTGGGGCACGATTATCCCGAATAAAACAACGTCGATTTAACGACGCCACTTAAGATCGTAGATACACGCACCGGTCGCGTCCCGGGAACAGATTTAAGTTAAGTCGTCGAATTATATCCCACCCCCCGCTGCTCTCCGAGCACTCGCTAAGTTCAGAAATATGGCCGGCGGCTTTATCGAAACCGTTATCGATTTTGCACTTTCCGAAGGAAAGAGAGCGAAGCTGCGAGACCGGGTTAGAGCGGGAGGCAATGAGGCGGTGTATGTGTGCGTGTGAGGGAGAGCGAGAGGAAGAGAGCGCGCGCGCGCGAGAGAGAGAGAGAGAGAGAGACATTTTCGCTCCCGTATCAGTGGGCAAGCCCCGTTTGACCTGGCACACATGCCGCCCATAGATCAACCAGAACCCTTAGGCCGAACCCCACCATGCCACGGGCTAACCATTAATTTACAACCCGCAGAGTAACCCCATGCCTCAACCCCTGCATACAGGATCCGCGTCCCCTTGCGGCAGATATGAGCTACGACGTGGCGCTGAGGGATTCAACCGCCCCGCCACCCGGACGACGGTCCCTTCTATCTCACCGGCCTGTCTCCTCCGTTCGCCGTCTCCGTCGCGCGCGCCCCTTTCTCGTCATCCCTTAAGCGACCTCCTCCGCCCACCCGCCTGAGGAGCTTCTCCTCTTTTCCCACCAGCTCGTTGCCACGCCATCATGGAAGTTACGACGAAAGAAATTTAAATCTATCGACGCGAACAGACAGACGAACGGACGGACGGTTAATCTCCGGTGATAACCTGCGGATGTATCTGCAGTTATCGCGCGGCGCAAATAGATTTCGATCGGCGAATTATTACTTGGGTTCTTGGATTTTTATCATGGTGTTGGACAGATAGATGGATAGATAGAAAGATAGATAAGTAACCAATTTATAAGGATCAGGAGGATCAATTTATAATGAACGACGCAACTCTGACCCTCTTGCTCGCGGAAGGGAGCAACGACAACCTTCGTTAATCGCCCCGCGCGTTAATTCCACGTCCCTGAATAAAGCCGCTTCTGCTCGTTTTCTGCGCTGCAATCTCGATCTTCGACTTTTTCGTCTACAAGACGGACTCGCTCCCGGTCCAACGTGTTCATAACGAGCTCCCCGCTGGTAAGGGATGGAGAACAAAACTCCTAATTGTCAGTGGACTTCAAACTATCCAGGACACGAAAGGAAAGAAGGAAGGAAGGAAGGAAGGAAGGAAGATGGGAAGGAGGAACGGGAGAGAAAGGGGGATTTGTGAAGATTAAGAGAAAGACAGAAATGGAGACAGACAGACAGAGAGAGAGAAAGAGAGAGAGAGAGAAAGTCGCGAATGAATGCTGCAAACTGAAAAGGGACTGGGAACGTTCTTTGATTTTGCGGGCTTTATTTTCGCTTAATAAGCGGGTGCGAATAGGCCCGGCTGTTGCTTGTGCTTTGTAACTCGATGGAAGTAAGTTGTGCCCTGTTTCGTTTTGTTGTCCGGCAGTTCCTTCTCCTCCCGCGACCCGGTCTCTCCCGTCTGCCCTCCACCCTCCCCTCCAGCCTCGCGCCACTCTCCCTCTCTCTCCCGCGGGAATGAAAGGAACGAATAATTAGGGAAGGTTGGCGGGCACAGCCCGAAAGTTTCTGGCCAATTAATTAGACGGAGAAATGCACGGTACGAGAGGTAACCGGCGCATAAGCGCCAGGGACGGCAATTTAAACAGCGACAATTCGACTGCGATTATCGCTGCACAAACGTTTTGACGGCGCGCTTTTATAGCATAAAGGCTTCGGTTGATAATGGCGGATATTAGCGACTTGAATACCATTATGAAAGCTCCACGTGCTCTCTCTCTCACTCTCTCGCTCTTCTTTTCTCTCTCGCTCTATAAGAGACGAAACTTATAGGACTTAAGATTAAGAAGAATATGTGTGTGCGCGCAAATAAAAGTGAAATCAGGTCGGCGAGGAGGACAGAGCGCAGACAAAATTTACACAGCAATAAATAGTATTGTTGTGTCTCGCAGGTACGAATCAAGACGGATATACAACAGAGATAAAAATATTGAAGATACCGCGTCGAATACTAGCCTGCAGAATTACTGTGGGGATAAGACAAGAGATAAGACCTCCCCCCGCACTTAAGCGCACGCAATTTTCAGAACGTCCCCCGTGTTCCCCCGCAGCGACGATATCGCCAAGTATTGACGAGTCACGCCTCGCAGTCCCCGCTGATCTTAATAAAACACCGTCAGCTTTACGTTTGATGGGCGATAAGACGCACGTGCTTCCCCTTCACACCAGAATAGACTGTATATAGCCGGCTGGACGCAGTCCTCCGCGACCGACCCAGCCAACCACCCACCCACGCGTCGGTTCCTCTTCTTTTCCGACCCTCGTCGTCGGAGACTCGCCCCTCGTTTCCTCCGCTTAAAAACCGGTAATTACCGCGATGCCGGTGCGCTCTGGCATTTACCATCCGCCACGGTGTTACGGTACTTTCTCTGGTTAACGCGGCGACACTGGATGCGCAATTCGATTTTCGCATGACATTGTGTGTGTGTGTGTGCCTGTGTTGCATCAAGTCGCACATTAGTCCTCTCGATAGCGCGGATAACGCGGCGAATTAATTACGCGCTAAGTATCAGAAAGCGCGATGTGCGAGTGCGGCTCACAGCGCGCACTTGTGCAGCACCTCTTGCAATTTGCATAATTTCGTTATAAGCGCGTTTCGCGAGTTCAAAAAGTTATTATAACTTTAACTATTATTATTATCGTTATTGCTATCAACCTCTAGTGGTTACAACTCTTCCCTCTCTCCTCCCCTCCCTTTCCTACTTGTTCTATCTTCTCTCCGTCTCTCTTTCTCTACGATAGTTATCGTATTATCAAAAATGCTATTACCATATTATTATCGTAATCTTGACTTATCGTCGTCGTAGACGGGAATTATAACTTCGCCTCGTTACGCGACTTCCGCCGCTCGACTTTTCTCGTCTGTAATAGTCTCTTTTTCGCGTTTCTTTCTCGCGCCCGCGCGCGGATTGGGAGGAACGCGACGCCGAGAGAATCGGATTCGCCGAGCTGGCGATCGGTGCGCGCTTATTTTTAGCGGGGCCAGCCTTGGCGCGTCAATCATGCCCGCGTTTTTCGCGATTAACGCTTGCAATGAGGAATCCGACGATAATTCGCGCGGGATTGGCACGAAGCCGCGAATTTTCCTACGGCCGAGCTCTTACGTCGGATTTCTGAGCTGTGAAATATGCCCGGCATATTCCGCCAATCGACGTGTAAAACATCGACATTTCCGAGGGATGTAGGTCATCTTCTGGTTGCCCCGAGGGAATATAATCGAAAAGTCGGGAATAACGAAGTCGCGACGGAAGAACAGCACGGTGAAATATCATGAGAATTACACTCTACGTGACGCACACTACGCTCACCTTGATCGTCGCGTGGTAGGATCTTTCATGACCATGACCTCTGTGATGTCTCCATACTTGGTGAAATACTCCCTAAGGCTCTCTGAAACAATACGACAACAGCGATTACTAGTCACGCACGACGACGAGGCGCTGCCTACGTATCGTATCTTCGGCAAATGAGTCGCGCTAAGCATGCTCGATATTCGTGACGAGAGGCGCGATTTTTCTCTCGCCCAAGAGAGCGCAGCTCTTTAGTCGCGCTTATCGCAGCGCGCTCGCGTCATTTTTCACGGGGACGGAGCTTCTCCGCCGCGCAAGATACGGCATCGAAAACTTAAATTATCCCGTCGCGCAGACATCTGTCAGGCGAAGTTAGGACCAAAGGCGGCCCGAAAGATCGCTGACGTTAATTGGAATTAGTAGATAACAACGCGAGTCGACACTTCGGAGCGTAATCCCCGTAGCTTGATAAACGCGCTGCGTGCGCCCAAAGTAAAGCCTCAGCTTAGTACGATCCGCCTCTGACGACAGCTAATTCTACACATTGTGCACCTGTTTCTTACGAGCCCGTCGGCGACCACCGTCTTCGCGTCGATGCGAATAAATAGTGACGAGGTTGCCTTGAAAACGTCGCCGGTAACGAGACTACGCGTTGAGAGAATATTACGGCTTTCTTTCCCGTATAAATCCTCTTCAATCTTATTATGCTTCTAGTAACGCAGGAATAAGTATGAACCTTACTGTCAGTAAGATTTATCTTGCTAAGAAACGTCGTATATTCTGCCAGAAACAGAAAATTTTTTAATAGCTCACTTTAGTTTTTAAGATACAAATGGCACTTATAAGAAATGAAAGAATAATAAATCACTGCAGAATGTCGATCTGTTTTTTGATCACAAAATTCTGTAGTAATTTTTACTACAAACTCTCTCCGTATAAATTTCGTTAGAGATATGACGAAATTTTTAACAGTATATTTCAATTTCTGAAATATAAATAGCACATACATAGAAAAAAATTTGTGGTTAAAATTACTGTAGGATTTTGTAACACCAAGCAATAGATTGGCATTCTGCAATAATTCGTTCTATCCATCCGTTTCCGTACATATGAGTTATTTATATTTTAAGAACTTAAATTTGCTATTAAAATATTTACTATATTGCTAGCGAAATTCATGATGTTTCTTAGCAAGATACTTATTAATCCATTCTTGATAATCTATTCCTGGACTATCAAAAACATAGTAAAATTAACAAGAATTTATACGAGAAAAAAGCTATAATATACTCTCCGTATATTATATATATGAGAACTGAAAAGATAATAAATTACTGCAGAGTGTCAATCTATGTAAAATTCTGTAATAATTTTTATTATAAAATTCCCTCGGTGTATAATTAAGCTAACAAAAGCACGATCGACAATATACCAAAGGACAACACCTTCGAATTATTATCCCCTGCTTTCGCGTAATTATGTTATTAGAAAATTAATTCTGCCAAATAAATTATTCGCAAATAACTATCAAAGAATACTTTTTACATATACGCCCACGGCAAAGAAATTTCTGTATTTAAAGCAGACAACTTAGTTTTTTAATAATCCAGGATATATCCTAAAAGAGTATTCTAAAGCAACAATAAACGCTACTGATTTACTCATTTGGTCACTCACATACAGACGCGAAAGCAAGTGCACAGATTGAAAACAATCCTCGGACAGAGTCCGAGGGAAACAGCTCCATTTATACCGTTGATGTAAACTATATAGAGCATAAACGAGGCCGCCCTGATTGCACAAGCTATCGGCTGAGCCTATTAGGAACTCGATCGTTAGCCCAGACGTTATTAGGATATGATAATTTCAGGTACAATCATTTTGCGGCTGGGTCGCATAAATATACACGCGGTCGGCCTCGCCGTCGCACGCGCGTTGCGCTTGGCGCGAGACGAGAGAAACCGTGTCTCCGTGGATTTCTCAGACAGAATTCGCACCTTGGCAGAAAAGCAGAAAACAGAAAGGCAGAAGCCAATCGGGACTCGCGCTGAAAAGTAGACAAGCAGAAACTGCCGACTACCGCACCTGATCGCCAGCGCGAGTTCTGATTGCTTTCTGCTTTTCTGCCGAGGTGTAAATTCTCCCGTGCGCGACCACGAGGAAAAACAAACTCGACGTCCGTTCCCGCGTTGTTCTTTCGCCTCTTTCTTTTTTTTTTTTTTGCTCTTCTCTCACTTATCTTTCCTTCTTAATCGGCCGAGAAATTATCCAATCGCGCCGCGTGCCGCACGATCAATGCGACCAATGTGGGGCCTCTCTGCACACACACCGCCGCTTCTCACCAGGGACACCCCCTTGACCCTTTTCGTAGGTTTATAGCAAAAGGCTGAACACTGGCGGCGGGCCAGCATGGCCGCGCTCCAAATACGTCTTACACCTTATCTAATTATACGCTGTTTCATCCAGTCCGCTCTTCGTAATGTTCGGCGGTTACTCGCCCGTTCGCGAGCGAGCGGGCTTCGATAAATCCACGACACGCGGAGTTCACGATACGCCGCGATGCGCGAGGCTAAATGCGTACCTCTCCACCACACGTCGAGACGGCGATGGATCGCGCGAAATTCGCCGAGGGGAAGAGGATGGAAACACGTATTATATTATCCGAAGCAGCGCTCTCGCGAATTAGTTGCGCTTTCGATTTCTCTGGTGTCAATCGTCTGTTATCTTTGAGTTACTCGTAAATCCACAACGCGCGCGTGCGTTGTGGATGAAAAAGAAAATTAGGAAAACGACCGACATGTGAAGAATGTCGGGTTGGTGCAAAAGTTCGTTGTGTCTGTCAGGAAAAACGGGAAACAAAATTATCCAATTTTAAAGGATGGATAATTTTCACGCAAACAATGTTTCATTTCACGAATAATTCTCTATCTTTTAGGCGTTTGACTTTTTATTTTTCCTTTGATACTCAAACGAAACTTGCCACGTGAATTTAAGAATGTATTGCCCATATTTCAAGAATAATGGAAAAATTATGAGGAAATTAAAAATTAATTTATGTTGTATCTAAGAGCGATCACACACAAACAATTTGACATTGATTCAGAGTCTGGATCAAAAGTTATTCTACTTGCAACAATGTAAACCCTCAGCAAATATGATGACGTCTCTAATGACAATAATATGTCATTAATATGTTATTTGATATCATGTTAGTATTTGGGTTATATTTTCCACAATGCTATTATGAGAATATATAATGTTTCCATCTATCTTTAGGTTCTATTTTTTTAGCAAAGGAAGAAGTTTGAAAAATAACACGAAAATCTCAATTTTTGCACACGTATACTTTAAATGTTCACAATAGTACATATGCATAGCTTCCTTGTGGCCCACAGATAAAAATTTAAAAGTCATAAATAATATAAAACAGAGAAAATAAACTGTGAAAAGATGATGTTGAAATAAAAATATATTGTTCAACTGTATTGCATACGTACTTTTTTTAATGTATTTCGAATTTTTAGCGACTCTTTGCAGTAAAAATATACGGGCGGTATATTCTTAGAAGAAGAATTGACGAATCTTTTGCACAAAGACGGTAGAACATTGTACTTTGTACTCACGAGGATCGCGCAACTAGTTTGTCGTTAAAACGCCAACGGCGAGGAGAGAACAGCGGACGCGAGATCGCCTTGAAATGCGACTAGTTTCGCCGATTTAAAATATACGATTTAACAGGCAATGACGCGCAAGCGGGTGGGCGGGCGGCGTCACTAAATGGAAATATAAGTTTTAATTGTTGTTTGTGCTTCTCGTGCGACACATAGAACGCGAGCGGGCCGTAATCGCGAGAGCGTGGAGTGCCTGATAATTGTTACTGCCGGGAAGCGGAAAATGGGGGATAACTGGACTTGCTAATTCAGCACGCGGCATTAATCAATGAATTATTGGTATCCCCGGGTCATTAGCCGTCGGGTACCACCTGTTTGGTAACGAGGCTCGCGCATAAATTACAGCCCCCCCTCCTCCCCCCAATCCTCTTGGCCAGCCCAGCGGCCCACCGCTGTGTTAATTAATGACACCAAGTCGGAATTCTTGAGGAGGCGACACAACTACGACGAGGACGCGGAAGAGGACCCGTTATCAACCGCGCTGGCTAATGTTCGTTTCATGACTAAACATTTAAAAGACAATTAGGCCAGGAGATATCGACGTCACCCGCTTATTACATCCGCCGTCGTCTTCCTCCCCCTCGGAAATGAGATTTTGTTAATAAAAAGGGAGATTATCGAAGCGCGTGCCGTTGAATTGCCTCTTAATGGATATGTAATTTGCATTTAAGCCGGCAGGAGAACTTTCGAGGGACAAGAAGCGCGCCGCTCGTCGGGGAAGAGGTGTATCGTCGCGAAGCGATCTGGAATCTTGAAGACTCGGATGGGGAAGTAATCAGACGACGACGTCGACTGGTTTCTTTTTTTCTGTCTTCTCTATCCCCCGACACTCTCCTGACTTCGCGTCGACGGATCAACGCGGATAATGAATTCCCTAATGGTTCGTCGCTATTTTCGAAACGCGCTAGAAATGCAATCTCTCGCGATCCGAAAGTTCGCTTAACTCTCGCCCAAACTTTCGTTACGTTTGCGATCGCTGGGAGGGTAGCTGGCTTTCAATTTCTTCCTTCGAGACGCGGCGATCTTTCAGATAGTTTCGTCTGCGCGACACGCCGGCTGTCGGTGTTATGAAAGCGTCGTTAAATCGAAGGGAGGAATTCCCTTTCTCGCTCGTCACTCCCGCAAATCTCTCTCGCTCTCTCTCTTTCTCTCTCGAAAGTATCTAACGTGCTCAGGCACTTCTTCTTCATGAAGCTCGCGTAATTTTTAATTCTCACGACGGTGCCCCGATAATTTTCGAGATCCGCTGCCGTAACGCCGGCCTACTCCGGCCCAATAAAAATGTCATTAAAGCGGGAGGGGTCCAGGAGGGCAGACAAAGGGGAAAGGGGGTTGGCTTGCCAATGCTTCCTTAATTTGTCCCTGGCCGGCGGATTGATGGGAGCAATTTCGTCGTTCTCGCGAGAAGACGCTCTTAAAACGCGGCCGC